TAAAAGGTAATAATCTGTCTACCCATCTTGTTAATCTACTGTGGTAGGTTTTATTCCCGTGATTTGGTGATAACGCGGATAATAAAGCTTTATGGTCGGTAATTACTTCGAAATCTGATCCGTAAAGATAGTTCTTATAATGTTCGACGGCCCATACAACCCCTAGAAGTTCGAGCTCGTTCGTAGAATATTTAGACTCGTGAGGGTTTAAAAAGCGCGAAGCGAATGAGGTTGTTTTCCAATCGTTCCCGTGGAGTTGTTCAAGCGAGGCTCCAAGTCCGTTATGAGAAGCGTCTGTTTTTACTCTAGTTTTACGTTTCACGTCGAAATGGGTATTCTCTGTTAGGTTTACGATTTCCTCTTTAATTTTTTCAAACGCTTTTGCATGGTCGTCGTTCCATTGGAATAATGATTTCTTGTTTAAAAGTGGTCGAAGTGGACTTCCTAAGGATGCTAAGTTTGGGACAAATTTTATGTATTGGTTTGTAGAACCAAAAAACGAACGTAGTTCTTTCAAATTCTTCGGAATAGGTAAGTCTTTTATGGCTTTCGATTTGTCGAATAATGGGGTAATACCAGATTTAGAGATTTTGAATCCCAACCATTCTATTTCTTTTTGAAAGAATTTACATTTTGACCATTTCACCGCGAAATTATATTCGTCGAGAGTTGATAAAATTTTTAACACGATATTCTTGTGCTCTAAGAAGGATCCTTTGGAAGCGATTAAAATTTCATCCAAATAACAATTGGTAAATGGGATTGAACCTAATGTAGAGTCCATTACTCTTTGAAATTCGTTAGGCATATCCCCTAAGCCGTAAAAACCAGTTAAAAATTGGTAAGTACCCGTAATGTCGCCACCCACGATACTGAAGTTACATTGGTTACTAGTGAATTTATCTAATGCTAATTGACTGTACGCGTTTTTCAGGTCTAAGTTTGTAAACCACACTTCTCCAACGGAATCATTAGTAATTTGTGCCGCGACATTGTCTACCAGTTCGTGGATGTTTGGCATTTGATATTTGTTCTTGTAAATCTGTTTGTTTATGAACTTGGAGTCTAAGGCTAATTTGATGGATTTATCTTTTTTACAAGTAATGACTATTGGACTAATAAATCTGTCTTCGTCGCAGTTTTCTAGTTTTTTGATATGTCCTTCCGCCTTTAGTCTATTTAATTCAGACTTTACCGCGTCCAGTAAATGAAGGGGAACTCGTCTTCCCTTTAGTTGGATTGGTTTTAAGGGTTCGTGAAAATGGGTGATTTTCATTTGATTCTTTATTTTTCCAATCCGAAGGAATAAATTTTTGAAAGATTTTGTTATATTTAAAATTTCCCTATCCTGGTTTGATTGAGAGATGGAATTTATTGACTTACACTGTTTGTTAGTCTGGAAATGTGGAAAGTGTTTCTGAGAGACTTCTATCCCCACTTTTGGAAGGTTGTCATTCCCTAGGATATTTCTCTCGTGTCCCTCGGTTAAGAAGAATTGACAATCGTTGTCTGACCAGCCGTTTGAAAATATCGGAAGCTTCACCTTTCCAGTAATGTTTATGGCATTATCTGTGAATCCACAGTATAGGTCTCTAGTTGATTTATCCACTGGATAGATTTTCAAGTAAGGGTCTCGTAACTTTAATTCGTGAAGTACGTTTTTCTTAAGGAAGCTCACCGGGCTTGCTGAATCCACTTGAATGTTTAAAATTACTTGGTTTTCTTTTCCGAGTCCAATGTTCAATAATTTCTTTAATTCTTTTCCATCGTTATCGAAAATCGTAGTTACATTTAGTACAGAATAATCGTCATTTTCACTTTGTCCAGATTCTGACCATGCGTTTATTACACCACAACATTCTCTATCGATGAGATCAGTATTTACATCCGGAATATCCGACGGATTAAAATCTGTGTTATCTACAATTTGGGTATTTACAATGTTTACATTTTTGCGACGAGATTTACAAAGTCTAGTGAAATGTCCTTTGAATTTACAAGAAGTACAAGTCGTGTCCTTTGCTGGGCAAACTGCTAAATGACCTTTCGAGAAAACACCGCCGCACTTCATACAGTTGTTACTCTTTTCGATGTTAAGGGTTGGTTCTCTTTTGACGTTAAAGTGGTTACTTGGTCTGTGTACGGATGATCCGTTGGATTTAAAATTATTTGTTAATTTCAGGTGGTTTAAAATTCCTTTTTCATCTATGAGTGCAACATTTAGTGCTTCGCGTGGAGGGAGGGTTTCTGTTAACAATTTCCTTTGAATGTCGTAGTTTTTCATATTATTTATGAAAATGTCTCTTATCCACTCTTCTTCTCCTGCGGATATGTCGCACTTTTTGGCCATTTCGGCTAAGGCACCCCAAAATTGTTCAAGGGATTCTCTTTCTCGTTGCTTTCTATTTAATAGTTTATGTCGTTCAAATGTGACATTTGTTTTTCTTACGAATGCAATCGCTAAGAACTCCCAGAATTCCTTAAAAGAAATTTGCAGAACTTTCACCTTGGTAAATTTTTGTCCAAAGATCCTTTTTCCTTCATTACCCAGTGCCAGATATAAGACCGAACGTAATTTCTTGTCTGCTTCTTCTATTCGCATTCCGTTGAATTTCTTGGTTTCAGTTTTTATCTAAGCAGTTTCTTCTTCGTCATACCGTCTTTGCTCTTGAGTGTTTCTTTCTAATCTGGAGCGTCTTTGGGCATCTGTTTCGCCGTCTGTCGGGTTTTCCAAATTTGGAGGTAATGGGTGTTGTCTCTCCGACGGATTGAATAGATTTTCTATGTCAATGTTTTCCTTAGCAATGATAGCTAATTGAAACAGATCGCTCCAGTCTTCCCATGGAATGGGAGGGTCTACCGTATGGTTTTGCCAAAAAGGAGGTATTCCTCTCACGTTAGATTCGTTAGTTGACTGCGCCATGATAAAATGTTACTTTGTTGTAGCTAATTCTAAGTTAAAACTATAAAAAGAATATGGAATTAAGATGAATTAGTCGGTAAGTTAAAACATTAAAACAATGAGAGATCATTCTCTCCGCCGGAGAGAATGACCAATGAAGGTCATAATAAAGTGACCAGTTAAATAAACTAATATGTTTTGCAGTAATTGCAAAACATGATGTAAATCACAACATTTCTATTATAAAAACCAAGCACTGAAATATTTCAACTGGCGTTTGAGGTCTCTGAAGCAAGTTAGAAGTTTGTGTACCTTTTTGGCAAAGTACACATTGATATAAATGCTATCTCATAAGCGCTATTTGAACAAAAATAGTGTCTCACATTAAATTGGAATGATTCCTGAAATAGATTAGTTCACCGCTTGCGCTATTCAGCAAAAGAAATACACCACGCATTTTTAATGAAAAGTTACAAATGAATTACTCATTATCAATTACGTGGTTGAAAAAAAGTTTTTGTCGAAACTGCTCACTAAAAGTTAAAACTGGCCTGATTCGAAAGAAAACACACGAATTCCAGCAGTTTGTTCGAAAGCCGGTGCTAAAAGATTACTTTTATCAAACTTGAAATTCAAATAATTAGACTGCCTCTCAATGTGACTGAATTCGCTTTTAGTGAACAAACAGGTTTTTCATTTCTTTTACCTTCAAGGAGTTTCAAGTACAAATTGATAAAATTTGTTTGTATTAAAGCCAAATTGGGACATATTGAGTAGCAATTTTCACAAAGTGAAACCCCCATAACCTAAAAAATAATGAAAACCGGTTATATGTTTTTCAAACTTCCCTCAATGTTTTCCAGTTGTTATAAGAACTCCACCAAAATGGCTAATAAAGAGTCAAATTGGTCTGAAAAAAGAAATTCTCACCATGATTTTTTGGCAATTTTCACACATCTGCTTTAATGTGTAATTTCAGCTACAAAGGGATACTCAGGGCAACGCAAACAAAGAACAGATTTGTTCTCAAATTAGTCATTACTTCAGATGATTTAAAAAAAGATAATAAGCAGAAGTTGACCTGAAAACAAAAAAGCCTTGCATATGTTTACCGTTACTTATTTTTAAAATCACAACAAAAATTACGAAGATAACTTCATTCACATTTTTAAAATCTCATAAATAATAAACGATTTTTTTCTTGCTGTATTTTTTTTCCGCTGGCTTTAGTTTTCTTTTTCAGTCTTAGTAAAAAGAAAATAATTCAATCCAGTTGATCAGTTTACAGAAATTACAATCGCGCCGTCTTTTCATCCCGAAACCATCTCATCTCAAATACAGAGGATGAATTCTGAGCCAAATACTGATTTCTGAACCAGATACAGAACCATCTCATCTCAAAGGTTGCTGATGATTTCTGAGCCGATTACTAATAACAATTTCTGAACCAAAAAATGCCTTCGGTGGTTGTGTTTCTAAGGATTCCAAAAAATTGAAGAAACTACCTCAACCCTTGAGAAATTTTTCGGGTAATCGATACTAAAGGTTGCGACCCACATATTTATTTATCCAAAATTTTAGGTTTTGTTCGTGGTTTCAGCTGCCAACCCGCATTGCTATAGATTTCAGATAACAATAAATGTTAGTATGCAAGTTCAGTAAGAACCAAAAGTGCCGAATCCACTTACAATTTGCGGATTCCTCAAACAAATTCTGCAGATTTCCTCACATTTGGGGAATCCACGTACAGTTGTGGAATCCAGAATAACTAGCTGCATTTGCTTGTTATCAAAACAAAAGTGCCGACAAAGTTTACGTTACAGGTATTTGTACGCGGAATCAACGTAAATTTTGTAGGTGGAACCCACTTACATTTAGGAGCATGTTTGAATACTTGTCTCTGAAATCCAGAAACATACAGAAACAAAATTGTGCGCCCGTCCAGCGCAGGGTTTGGCCTCGTAATGTTTTAGTTTCCAAACTTTTAGTTTCAAAAGCATTTGCATAGAACTATCCGAGCACAGAGCATAAATGATTTATCGCCAAAGATAATCAAGTGATGAAATTGGACCAAACTAAGGTTTAGAGGTATATTTACAATTGGTTCAGCTGGTGCTGTGATTTCTCCCACTCTAACTTCAGTCTCTCGGCTTCATCCGAATGGTCGTTCAAGTCGCCGTCCAACTCGTGCAATCTATGTCTTCCCTGCTTCGGCTTGTTGCCGACTCCTGCCTCGTTCGGATGTTTCCGGTCCATGATTGGAGATGCGTCTAGGTCTTTGAAGGGCGACGAGGCCGAATAAAGACTCTGGTACTGTTTGCCATTGTCTAATGTAATCGGTTCTTCGTCACTGTTCGGCAGAGGCCTAACACAGAAAAAAAAACAATATTGCAAATAATTGAAACAAAGCTAGATCTTCGAAACAACTCCGAAAAATATTATGTTACAGGGAGCCAAATTTTTAAATGAATTCGATGATATTATGGATTCTAAAAAGTTTTTGAAAATTTTGTCGCTTTTTCTTTAGATTTTGGTTCTTTTGAGTTTTCGCGTATTGCGTGAACCATAGTGTGACTCTATTTTGGAAAAACCTTCTGCATTTTTCGGAAGGTTTGATCAAAATTCTTTTTTGAGGCGTGCCCGCCCAAAATTAAAGTAAATTGGCACCCAAGGCGACTTCAGAAACATTTAAGTATTAACCGATCCTTAGCACGATACGAATTTATCCTAATTTTCAGATTATAAAAACTATTAGCAGATCTCGCACAATTGAGAGTTTCCGAATCTTTAAATTTCCAGAGTGTCTGCTATTTTTTCTTATATATCTATATATATATATATATTTTTGCAGATGGTTTTCAGATTTTTTCCCACTTCACTCACCCATTCGACTGACTGTATCTGTTGTTATTCGTGACTGGAGGTGGGGGCGTGGACTCCTCCTTGTACTGGTTGAACTTCTTGGAGAACTGAAAATAACTGTCTTCAAATCTGGCCAGTCGGTTACCAACTGGGGTCGTGGAAGTTGCCACCGAGTTAGTACTAGTGGTAATATTAGTAGCAGGTCTATCAAAATCAGGGACAAGCGCTGTTTTTTTGAAAATTTTTTGAGAACGTGATTTGTTTTTCAATTTCTCCGTTAAAAAAAATAGTTTTCGTAGAAAAAAGTTCGTGGAAAATTTTCCGCAAAATTTTACAAATAACAGATTTGATTGATATGTTCAGTTATTTGCAAGAGTGACAATATTATTTTTCTTTAAATGTGGCGCGTTTTTTTCCGCATGTTTTGCTCCACATTCATTGCGGGATTTAGTGTGAGAGATATTAGGAGCGAAATAGATGTTTAAATCATTCAAATTGCAAATTAGTAGTTTTAAAAAATGTAAACTCACTAATTCAATTTTAAAATAATTTTCGCGAGTTATGTTCTGAGTACAATCCATTTTCACAGTTGTAAACGATTGAGAAAATATCAGAGGAATAAGGACGATTTTGAAACTAAACGGACTTTTTGATTTTAAAAAATCAGATTTTTTTGCCTGTCCCTGATACTAACGAGGAAGTCATCACGCTTTTGTTAGACACTCTTGGAATGCATGTGGGAATGCTTTCTGTTCTATAATGGCTGTTGATCATTTTGGGAGTAATTGAAACAGTTTGAGTGGATTTATCACCTGTGCTCCTGTACATTTATAACTAATTTATAAACAATCAAGCGTTGTAAAACAGGCAAGTGTTTAATCTCTATCTGAAGAAAGATTTTGAACGAAAAGCCAAAAATGGACGCTGAATTTGAATCCTATTTTTTTGAAGCATTTGAAATTTAGTGGGCAAAAGTTTAAAATGATCCCAAAGCGCTTAGATGACTAGATGTATGTTAGATGCGTTTGATAATTAGAAGTAACAAAAAAAGCTATTTGATTTTTGGTATTAGAGGGGTTTCCTTTTTCACTTCTGAAGTCGTGAGCTGCAAATAATAATTGACAAGTAACAAATGAAACTGAGTGAATTCCTTACGTTGGAGAGTTCGGTCTCGTTAGCAAATCCCAGTCCATACAATACTCCATTACTAGTGTCCAACCACTGTCCAAATTTGTGGGAGGTCTTGATGAAAGTGTAGTCAGGTGAAAGCGCACTGCTAAAAACGGGCTGAAACGCAATATCTCAATTTTCAATAACAAATAGAGCATTGCTTGAAAGAAACGTGAAATCATAGAAGCCTTCACGTAAAGTGACGTTGATTAAATTGTTATTGCTTCTTATTTTACCATGGAAATTTGCGCCATCAAATTGCATAACGATGAAGTTCGGGCAACCTCATTACAAAGCAAAAATATATGAACTAATTGATCTTTTATGTTCAACCGCAGCTGACTTTTTCGTTAAATGAGGTTTCAATCAGTTTTCGTTTTGCTACCCAATGTTTGTGTTACTGTCAAAAGTTCTGTCAAATTGCTTAACCATTTTTTATAGCTTTTAACCGATAATCTGACAACGTCTTCAATTTTTTTAAAATTCTGACCTTCAAATTGAAACTTATTAAAAATATTTCTTGGAACTTTCGCGTTTGACTTTAGTCGGCGTTTTATGAGTTCTTTTCTATTAGAAAAATTCACGTCAGAATAAAAATGCTGCGGAATAAAATTTGTTTTGAAGACAGGTACTTGAAGTTATGCAAAAAAACTGACCTCTGAAAAAGAGCATTCATTTTAGTTTGCTCATTTGACAGTTCAAGTGCAACTTGAAAAATTCGTTTGCAATTTCAACTCAAATATTGAAAATATATATTGAAAACATCCGGACAAAACGCAATAAACTCTAGATAATAAAAACGCGTTTTTTTTCAAAATGGGTTGCGTTGAAGCGAAAAATGATGACGACCAGATTGGCTTAAGATTCCAGCAGAATTCATAATCAAAATTCAAATTTTACCCCACAAATGTATCATTTATGTGGTTTTTTAGCACCATATATAAATTTAACCATATGATTTCTGCAGAAATTTTAAGCAAGTTTTGTCATTTAGTTTTGCCTAAACGCAACCCAATTTAGAAAAAACGCGTTTTAAATTTCTAGTTTATTGCATTTGGTCCGGATAATTTAAATCAGCGCTGTAGAGTTGGAACTGCAAACGAATTTTTGCACTTGAACTGTCAAAAAAGCAAACCAAAATTTTTGCTCTTTTTCAGAAGTCAGTTTTCTTGCATAACTTTAACCCCAATATTTCAAAACAAATTTCATTCGACAGCAATTTGACATGCAATTTTTTAATAGAAAAGAACTCATAAAAACGCCGACAAAAAAGCAATTGCGAAAATTCAAAGAAGTGTTTCTAATAAATTTCAGCTCAAAGGTCAGAGTTATTTCAAAAAATTAAGACGTTGTTTATTAAATTTTTTAAAAGCTATAAGCAATTAATTGTTTTAAGAACAAATACATTCAAAAAAGCTAAAGTAATAATTCTGTTACTCGTTGATGTACTTTTTCTTGGGTGTCGGAGAGAAAATTTTTTAGTGGATGAAACCGAGCTTCAACAACAAGTTACAAAAAACTATTTCATCTAAAATTATTGTATTCTTTAAACTTACTGAAGGGGGCATGGTTCAGGTGGGGGAGGGGCCGATGTTGGGGTTGTAGGTTGTAAGGTGGCAAAAGGCAAAGGTTAGGGGGGAGGGGAGAGTTAAACGAAATCCTTTCGCAATTTCAGAACGTTCAGTTTTAGAAATTGATTGTGCCACTGGCTTTGCAAAGCTTCCGCATTACTCATTTGATGAATGTAGAACTTCTTGCAAAATTTTGCACGACCCGAAATAAAAATGAAATGGAAAAAACCTATTTCAAAAATGGGAAATGGATTATAAACACTTTTAAACTTCAGAAAAACAAACGATTTTTAAAGATTAGTTTATTCCATTTCGTTGTCTGAGTGCAACATGGGAATCGATTATTTTGATAATCTTTTAGACCACAAAAATCCATTAAGTAATTTTTTTTTCATTTTTCACGTTGAAAGGATATCCAGTTTTGAGGGTAACAAAACATTTTATGTTGATTATGTTTTTGAATTTTGTCGACCTTTTTTAGGTCGAACAAAACGATGTTCCGAGCGCTCCCAGAACACTATAAAGACCTTATTTTGACTGAAAACTTTTGCGATGAATGGGTAAACATTGTCTAGTGTTTAATACACTACTAAATTCTAGTCATTTTGCCCTGTCGTTAGCCAGATATAGTTACCACAAGCAAACTGCCAATTCAAAACTAATGCTGTTAAAAAGCAATTAAGCAAAGTAAAACTTTAGTTGTAACCTGGGTCGTAGTTTTGAAATTTTTGAGTGCAACGGTCGAATCAAATGTCAGAATTCCTACAAAAGTTCATAGTCGCGCAGAGCCTATAAAGTCCAACTAAAAGACGAAATTTAAGGAACAGCTGTATTTGTAAATCGAAAGTCATAAATCAAGCCAAAAACAGGAGGGGAACTTTTTTGGATGGGATGTGGGTCATTTTTCAACAAACCCTCCCGCCTCTCCCTCCCCCTTTTCGTCGTTTTTTCTATTTGTGAGTATTTTGACTTCCTTTTTCACGCCCAGTTTCACTGTTCACTTCTCACTTCAAAACCTTAATTTTAAAACTTACTTTTTTTCACTTCTAATTCAACTGCTGACTCACTTTAGAGTCTACTATGCTGGTGACTTTGTAGTTGTGCCGAGTGTGGTCGTAGCAGATGTCCACAGGCACTGACCCCTCAGCTGCTCCCGCCGGAGTCCACTCTTTCTTGCCACTGTTCGGCTCAATGAAGAACACGTGTGCCCTACTAGTGAACACTGGCTGCTCACTGAAACGCCAAAGGAATTGTTCACGGACAAATTCTATATTAAAGTTGGTTGGGCTACAACTCGTAACATTGGACGAATCGTAACAAGGCATGGGCAAGTAACGAAACGCTGGCGCCGCTGCGCTTACATTCGGCACGAGAAGAATAGTGCGCGTAAATCAGTGTTTGCCACCTAATCTGATACGAATTTTCACCAGTTCCGAATGGTCGCTTGTTACCTATTGTCGCTTGTTACGAATCGTCGACTGTTACGAATTGTCACCTGTTACGAATTGTTGCCTCGTTATTAAATTTCTCCGAAAAGAGACAAAAACCTCTCGCATTTTTGTCCTTTCTCTTCCCAGGATACATGGTCTTTATATGAAACTTATATAAACATCATTTATGCGCCAGAGAAACAGCCAACATATTCAAGAAAACACTTTTTTCATTAAAAATCACAGATTTATAATGCAGTGTACACTGTTAACATGAAATTAGGTTGAAATATTTTATAAAAAAAATCACAGTAATTAAACAAATAAAATAAAACCAAATTTGATTCAAAAAAGGCAAATGACTGTAAGTGGTCAGTGAGTGAAAGGATTATGAAAGAGAAGGGAGGAAAAGGAGCTTTTGAAATTCATACGAATATTTTTTGATGACAACTGATTTGCCAATTTTTAAAACCAAAAGCAAAGAAAGCACCGATGAGATCGAAAACTAATTTTGACTATTAAATTCACTTGTTAACACCCAAAACAGCAGAAGTGACATTTATACTCACGTCATTATTGTCATCTACGTTGTCTAAGGAGACGGGTCAAAAAAACTTCAAGTTTTTGACAGTATAGCACTTGTGTTTTAAGAAAACATGAATCTCTCGCAAGAAAGGCACGAAATGTGTTGACCGAAATTAGAAATAAATTGTAATCAAACGCGAATTAATTTTTTATTACAAAAGTAATTGAAAACGAAGTCTAATCAAGTCAAGGAGTAATTTGAAATCAAGTGGCGACTAGAAAAGAGTGCGAAAAATCTTCGATTGAAGCAAATATTACAAACTTTGCCTCAAATGTAGTTAATAAACGCCACCGTACACATATAATCAAGACATCAAATTGGTATTAGTACCATTGCTTTTCTAAAACAAAACAACAAAAAACGAAACTTGCGATTTAGCTTCACCATTTTTGGCGGCTCTAACAATAACATAAAATCACTTTCAAAATGTTATAGTGCGCCGACCGCGTTTTTTTTCTATGCATTTTTTTATTACAACTCTTTTGTTTTCATCACAAATTCTCGTATAACGTGGTGCCAGATTATTATGGAAGGATGCTGGCTTAAGTATTGTCCTGTATATGCAGCTGTTTTTAATATTTAGTGCATGAAGGATTATTCCACCGAAATTTGTTTTGATGGCCATGGAAAAATTCTATCCATGGAATATTATGTCTCGGCATTTGACTTGAAGAATAGGCCTCCATTGCTTTTTGTAGAAATAAAATGGAGAACAATTAACTGGCCAGTCGAAAAAAGCAATTGGGGGACTACACTATAATCCGACCTGCGGAACTAGGAAACTCTGCAAGGCAATTGAGGACGCTAGAATTTCAGAAAAAAAAGAGTCCATAATTTGCAAACTCAATAATTTAATCCGATCTTGAGGCTTTGCATACTTATATTTTCAAAACCGTGTCATGTAACACAAATAAAAATATGGTTTTTGAACCGGTCAGATTATTTCAATCACCAACCTTTTCTGGTTCTTTGGTATTTTTTAAAAATATTTTGTTCTGTGAGACATTTGAGAGAAATCTCATATATCTAAATAACTGTTTCTTGGCAAAAAAGACTATTGTATAAATTGCAAAAGTATTGAATTAATCTGCCTCAAAAAAAATTTCAAATTGATTTGACTATCATTTTGTATAATTTTGTATTCAACATTGCTCATGGGGTCAAAGAAAACTTTAACTTTTCCTTTTTGAGAAAACACTTCAATGGGCTGGTGGACTATTGAATGTTTCGTTATTGTAGAAAAAAAATTTATTACTCATTGGTTCTATGTATCCCTCTCTTGACGAGATTTTTAGTGAGGTTGCAAGTTTAGTTTGATTGGGTGCTGCTTTTGCATAGGCCAAGAACAGATCAAGGCATCAACAGTAAATGTAGAGATTAAGAGGCAGGAAAAAGAAAAAATGCATATGCAAAACTTACCCGCAGATTAAACCAACCGACTAGATTTTTGAAGAGCTCCTTATTAATGCTGGGACTGGCTCACTTGGTTTGTCTTAGGTATTTTTCAAAATTTTGTATTTCTGATACACTTTCTGAAAAAAGAAGATGCTCGAAGTAAAAGTAGAGCAGAGTTCAGCCTCAATTTCAGATGCTCCATGATATGCTCTGTGTGGGTTTTTATTCTGACTAATGTTTATTCAGACCATGAAACTCTCGTCACTCGGGAGATCGATATCTTGATCTAAATGATCACAGCCCGGTGTGCATACCAATATAGTAACCAGCCACAATTCATTCAACAAATCTGTTCATTTTATATGAAATAAACGCTGGTGAAATATCTCCATAAAACCGTTCCAAAAGGAATCGAGGTAGCTAATTTAATAACTTTATACACGACTTGTAACACTTGAAACTTAATATGATCAGCAAAAGTTTAATACGCAATTGACCAAAAACTGTTTGAGATCAATTAAATGGAAGTCGGAACATTCAGGGTTTTACCCTGATACGAGCAGTCTTGTTTTGAAAAATGCAGAAAAATATAAAGCACACTAAAACTCTCTTTCAAAACTTTTCAAATACTAATTGATTTTTTCATTTCATTGCCCGGGTTGACAAAAAACGCCTATCATACACTTTCATGCTATTTCATAGACCAAAAAAAGTATGAAAATACTTTTCATGTAACCAAACTTGGCGCCTATTTGTTTTAGTTGAGTTCTAAACTAATTTTGGATAGTTTTCGAAAAAATCTTCGATTTCAATATACTCCGCATATGAATTGTATGATAGGCATTTTTCTTGTTTGGACGTGAACCCGGGTGGTTCACGAAAATGACGACTCCTTTTTGACACACGTGCCGCGGGCTGTTTTCCAGTTCTCCCCCGTCCTTTTTATTTTTTGTGCAAATCAAGATATGAAATTCTATTTTAAATGACTTTTCATGTTATAAACTGCATTAAAATTTGTCAACGTGAACAGATGATTAAACCAAACCATACTGCGCGTTATTATACAATTCAGCGTGAAACTAATTTTAACTATCACCCTTAATAAAACTGCCTTCTTCTGATTAATAACCATCACCCTTAATAAAACTGCCTTCTTCTGATTAAATAAAACTGAATTCTTCTAACTTTCGAGCACGTTACCTCAAGACTTGTTTCGGCTCATTGGCTCAAAGCTTACTATTTTTTAAATACCTATTTTCTTAATTTGTGAACCATTTAATTCAAAATAAGGCAAAGCCTTGAATAGATGCAGTTTTCCGCTAACGTTTTTGCCAGTTGAAAACTAGTGACAACGTCAGCTGGTTTGGTTTTACCAGGAATCAATTGAACTTTCAAGTTACGTGTTTTATGTCATTCAATGAGCAAATTTTGAAAAAACCTATCTTCAAACTGATTATGAGACTTAAATTTTTGAAAAAGTTTAAAATCATTCAAACCAATTTTATGATACGAAAGCTTAAAACCCGTTAGTGTAACATAACCGTTTATAATAACCCGGGTTACACAGCCGGGAAAAAATCTTGGATTTTCTGCCAGGAATTTACAAAATCCAGGGCAACACTACCAGGAAGTCTAAAAAAAATCCTTGAAAACCAAGCCTGGACACCTGCTTGGTAAACTTCTTGGAAATCCAGCAAATCAGCAATTTTTCACAAAATTTTTTTTGTTAGCACCCGGAAAGTCATATTTAGGCCCGCAAAACAATTTTAGAAAAAAAGTGCACACAAAAAAGAAAGTTGTTTGGCGTTTAAAGTAGGCCAGACTAAATTTTTCACTCAAAAGAACCATAGATCAATGTGAGAATTTTGTGTGGAGCCATAATATGTTTTTTTTGTTGTTTTCAAACGGTAAGATGAGCTTAAATATGATGGAAAAGCGTCTTAAAAGTTTTCAAACGCCGTTTTGTAGGCAAAAACTATCAAGTCTCATGGAAAAAGTTATGTCTTTTGGTAAAATAAAAATTTGAAACTTACAACTTTTTTCAATAATGAATCATCAAATGCGTGTTTTCTACGAGGTTCTGCCTATTATCCTATGAGTTTTTTAAGTCAGAATAGCTTCTGGTATCTTTTGATTTCGGGCAGGTTCCAAAGCATTTACAACTTTGAAATTTTAAACAAAAAAATTATAAAACTCCAGGCCTGGAAAACTAGACTGCTCTTCGACATGGTTTTTCCCCTGGCTAGGCCTGGCTCTAGGGATGGACTACCATGGACAGGTAAACCGGGTAAACACATGCAGTGATGAAGTTTCATAATTGCGAAAAGAGACACTTGTGTACGTTGGGAGCAAAAAAAAACAGAAATTTTGGTTGCAAATAAGTGTCCGGAGCCTAAGCAAAAACGACGCGTGGAAATACCTATTGGTTCAATAAGAACAGTTGAAAAAAGATACAAGGGCTCACCGATTGCGAAGAAAATTCACCTATTGTTAGAATGTATTGGTCCAGGATTTGTTGAGTGGAACGCAGCTGCCAAAAACCCATCAGTTTTAAAATTTCAGAACATTTCTCAATTCATTCATATTAATCAAGGAATCTAAAGCCAACTTGTGTGGAAAAGAAGCGTAAAAGCAGAACCTTGTACAAACAACAATCCGCGGACAAAACAAAACAATTCAAAATCAGTACTACGAGAGATTAGGAATGTTCGCAAAATTGAACAAGACCGCTCATATCAAGGCTGAACACCGATTGTTCCGACTACATTTTAAGGTTTGCGGAGTAGTGTTCGCTTTAAAAGCGGAAGAAACTACACCTGTTGTTAAAGCGTATGGATTTGTTTTTTGGATAGAACACAATTGTTTAAATTAGAAACATGGGAGAAACATACGATGGGTCTATCCCTTACGTTGCAATAAACGAACATTTGTTGCAATAACCGAACATCCCCCCACACGCTATTTAAAGTACAAATATATCGCAGTAAAAAAAGTCAAAAACATTCCTCAATTCAATTTGCAACAACTTATATGAAATATTTGCATGAAAAAATAAATGTATTGCAAGTTAATTGTCCCAAATTGGCCCAATTAGCAACTTGTAAACCATCATAATTTTACCAAAAACGATCACATGAGAAATTCTTTTTTAAACTTGAGCTCAAGACAACAATACGTTCCAAATGATATTTCAAAAATCCGTTAAAACAGATAGTTAAAAAGTCGAAAATTGTCTGGAGAAAAAAACCACGCCGAGCAGAAAAATCCCGTTATTTTCTTCGAAAACAGTCGGAATAACAAAAACTGAGCCATTTTTTGCAAAGAAACTACACTTGTTGTTAAAGCGTATGAATCTGTTTTTTGGATATTCGATGGTTATTGATGTTCTTTGCCACAAAAACAAACTTTATCGTTTATTGCTAAGCTGGCTAATTTTTAGTGCTGAGACAACTACAATCAAGCTATCAAAATGAGCAAAACAGGGTCACAGCTAGGATCGATTACCGACATTTAGCCTATTAGACATATTTCCTACCTGTGCATCACGAATCTTTAGATCTTTAGAAAGTACAGGATTTATTAACTCACACTTTCATTTGAATGAGTTAAAATTTCTCAAGTTTAATTTCTGATTTCCCATGGAATCATAACTGAAACAGCCCTGAAATACTGCAGGCTTAGCTCTGCAAAAAAACTCTAAATTAAACATGAATCAGCGCTGGAAAAAAAGCGATTACTGAGATACTACTAAAAAAACGATAGTTAACGGTAGGACTTCGACCCGGGAAGTCGCAATAACTAGACATGATATCTCAAAACTTAGAAACATATCATACGAATTGAGAAATTTCAAAACCGTACGCAGGAAAACTTGACAGGAAATAGTACAGACCATGTTAACATTCCCCTAAGTGATTTAGAAGCAATAAAGTTCACTTGATTTTCTCGCTGTTTTGCAAATTGAACAATGCGTATTTTCAACCAATCAAAAGGGCTGCAGTATTTTCAAGAGAAATAGAAATAAATCAACTTGAGTAAGCAATTGACCGCCTACGCCGCTTACGCGTTAATAGTGCGATATATACCGAGTGTTAATTGTTCTAAAGGGGCTAAAATGGCAATCTATAAACCCCCATACTTTTACAAAAAATGATCACTGGTGAAAAACCTTGTTAATTTTAAGCCCAAGACAACAATACCTTTTGAAGGATAAACAAATTCGGTCAAATAGGGCTAGTTATCCAAAAAAATCCCTAAACTCGTCTTTTGTTCGGTTGGGGAGGAGAAAGTTCACCTGGTCGATGTGGGGGATGTGAAAATGTTCACATAGGCCAAAAGCGCAACATAACTGGAGTGCGGTGCATGACTATAACAGCGTGTAGCAGAGAAAACGGTTAGAGCGGATTTCTGTAAAAGCAGTAGTTAGAAAAAACCGCGGCTAAATGAGAATTGTCTGAAAGTTTTCCAGGGACAGAGCGGAAATGTCAGACAAAAACAATACATTGAAAAACAGGAAAAAACTGTTTGTGCCGTGAATGTTACGCAATTTTTAAACTTGAATCTATAACACGAAATGAATAAATTTACTACGAATATGTTTTGCTATAATTTATTTCAAAAATGGAGAACCACGACTTGGTTCTAGAAACAAAAATCTATATATACAACAATACTTAAATGAATGGGTTCCTCTATATCGCCCTCATCTTTCCATTTAGATACTGATTGAAAACTAGCAAAGATAAGTCAACTATTAAATATAAGAGCTAAACTCGAAAGCCGTCACTGAACGGACAGCTAATGATCATTAAACACATTGAAAACTTTTTCTGAAACTGTTTTGCCACGGGAGGCCGTTTTTGAGGAGAGTTGCAAGAAAGTTGCTAAGAACTCAGATACAGGTTTTTCAAAATTTTTGAGTTTTTGGTCTAAAATTGATAATTATTTATTATTTTCTCCTGTGTGAAATGTGTTTTGTACATAGCCGGCCACTATTTTGAAACACTGCGCCTTAGACCTTTTCGACATTTTGCTAACAAGAGGTGGAGTGACTGACTCCCTGTGTAAGTTTCGGTCAATTTGTATGCAAAAAAGAGCCGAACTTTGCAAGAATTGACCATTTATGAAACTGATTTTCCTTAGTGTTGTTCACACCCGGTCTCCAAATATTAGGAAATTATAATCCATTTGACCCATTTTCTTCCTGAAAACTATTTAGACTGAACAATATGTGAAATGACGATTTTTCTGAATAACATAAAAATTAACCAATTGAAAACAAAACTGCTTGTGTCAGGGTGAAGCCTTGAAAAAAATTCAACTACTTTTTGCACGTCAAATTTGCTTCCTCTAAGATTACTCGAAAAGATCCATCGGTGTATCTTGTTAAAAACCTTTCAACCGTCATAAAGATTCATGAAAAAATGAAAATTCTGATTTTTTCTGTTTCTTAGACATAATTTGTGATAGTCTAAACACCCATTGTAGCTTAAAAAAAACTTTTTTTTTCTTTATCATTTCAATCATCGTATATTAGAAAAAACAACAGGAAAAAATTTTTTTGGGCCTCTTACTGTCACAGTTTTCACACTTTTCGAGTCAATCTCGAATAAACCAACCACGTATGTTTTCGTTACAACAATCAGGGTTGAAGAAAATGCGGACTGCAGCAAACAAATTGAATAACATAATAATGGTTTAGATTTTTTCCGTTACAGAGGCGGTCAACAAAACTTGGTAATCTAGATTTGTACTTCAAGCAAATAGTTGTCATTGTTTGTAAAAAGTATCATTAGTGACCTAATCGCTCGAAAACCCAGCGGATCTCAACTCGTTGTCCCCCAAGTATCAAAAGAGACTTACCACAAACGTGTTACAACGCCAACCCAAACTTCGAATGGATGCCGAGAGAGCCTTCGTCAATGCAAAGGTAGTGCTCCGCGCCCCGAAAAATGTAAATGATTAAACTGACAGTGTGTGTATCTCAAACACATTGAACTATCCCATCACTCTTTTGTCACGGGTTGCTGTTGTTCAAGGGACTTATTTCAAGAGTTTTGTTGAAAACTTTCAGCCGCAAAACTTCAAAAAGATTTGGGTTCACCTTCTAAAAATTCTCCATTTTTTTCATTTTTGTTCTATTTGTTCTAGGACTTGTATTTTGAAAATATCAATTGGTGTTTTCATCAGCCAGTAACTATTCTATAATCTTGCATCTAAGTTAGCTGAATTGTTGCAAACCCGAGGCCAGATTTTTGTGAGAAGGTTTTGACAACGATTATGCAAAGACTTGCCAATTGCTTCAAGAACTGTCAGATTAAGAAAATGATATTGCTCAACTTTGTTCACGCACAGCCTCCAGGTATTGCGAAATCGTATTTCATGAGACCCTTTTCTTACTCAAAACTGTTTAGACTGAAAAAAAAAACCGAAATGGTTTTTTTTGAAAACGATAATTACGATTCTAAATAAAACCAGACTGCTCGTGTCAAGATTTAGCCTTGAAAAATTCAACCACTTTTGCTGGTCAATTTAGCCTGTTCCAGGAAACACTCGAAGGGATATATTGGTGTATCTAACTAGAAAATAACTTCTTATAACTACAATGGGTGTTCAGACTATCAAATCTTAGATCTAATATTTGATAGTCTGAACACCCATTGTAGTTATAAGAAAAACCCCTCTTGTAAATTTTCCTACCAATTCAGTTATGGGACTTTTTTAATTGAACCTACTGCCCTATAAAAGAAAACAACAGGAGAGACAATTTTTTGGGCCTTCAACCAGCCATCATTCAGTTTTCGAGTCAATCTTAGATCATATTAACCCCGTATGAATTGTTCATAGCAATCAGAGTTGTAGAATACTCGGACTGCAGCAACCAATTTAATAAATAGTGGTCAAGGTTTTTTCAATGCAACTAAAAGTTTTATTCATTATTCAAACTCAACCAGGGCTATATAATAATAGCAATCAGGGTTGTGGAATACGCGGACTGCAGCAATCAAGTTGGTAATTAGTCAGTCGTCCAAGTTTTTTTCAATGCAAAAAAGTTTAATTCAAAATTCAAATTCGTTCTGCTCAAAAAGCGCTCAACCAAATTTGATAATCTAGGTGTGCATTCGAGCAAAAAATTATCAATTTTTTGTAAAAAGTATCATCAGTGACTTATTCATTCGAAAAAAAGCGGACTTCAACTCGCCGCCCCTCACTTTTAAATCAGACTCACCCCAAAACTTTTATAACGCCAACTAAAAATTAGAATGAAGGCCGAGAGAGTTTTCTTCAACGCAATGGTGGATCTTTCGTCAACGCCAAGTTATAAAGGTTTAAATGGACAGTAGCTGTTTTTCAAGCATACTGATTTCTTTTTCTATAACGTTTTTGTCACGAGGTGCTGTGCTTAAAGAGACTTGCTGCAAAAAGTTTGTTGCAAATTTTCGGCTGCAAAATTTCCAAAAGATTTGACTTCTCTGATTTCCAATTTTTTTCATCAATTTTCAGTTTTTTGCTTTAGATTTTAAATAATATTTTTCAAAACCGTTACCATCTTGAAACGTTACGCCTGAGATTTATTTGGATTGCTCCAAACGCGAGGTCCGAATTTTTCGTGAGCAGGTTTTGACTTGCCAATTGTTTCAAGAATGTTCGGTTTATCAAACTTACATTACTGAATAATGTTCACACCGATTCTCCAGGTACTACGAAGTCGTATTCATTTTTCTATCTGACGATAATTTTAGCGGAACAATACATTGAACGATTTTTATATATATCGTTTTTTAAGTTTAACAAAAAAACCAATCGCCTTTTAATAGAAAAAAAAAACAGAATGTAAAACAATAGAAAACAAAATTTAAAAATAGGGGCGGTAACTGTCGGCATTTTTTAAATCTTTAAACTACTGCAAAATAAATAAGCTAATTAACGGAAATACATAAGCCGAAATCATTTGAGCCTTAAAAAATTCAATGCGAAAAAAACACAAATACTACAACCAGTAAAAGATGGTTATTTTAAAAATCTACAGGAGTTAATCAACGACACTTGAGAGTAAAATGAAAAATGCTTACTGCACCAAAACAATTGTCGTGTAGCAACTAAGACGACAAAAGATTAGACGGCAAACTATAGCGCGACTATTCAACTTTTACCGGAAAAAAAATCAATTTCAGGCACTCAAAAATTACAAGGACCGGTCGCGCTAAACCCAGATCATATGGTGCAAAGACAACCGCATTACCTCCAGGCTAAGTGATGAGGGGCCTGGAAATTACTAAGAGTCGATAATAAAGCAACGTCAATTTCAATTACAAATGTGTACGGGGGAAAAAGTCCAGTTACCTTATACAAAATATTTGCTCTAGCAAGTTTAATTATAATGGCTTCATTAGTCCAAATGCCCATTTCAAAAACAATCGGACGTGATGACCAAACGCTTCATTTAAAAACTTTGCGTTTCGAAAGACCATTAACTAGTCGCTAGTAGTAGAAAAACGGAGTATCTAGCTAATATCGGTCGCTAAAATCTAGAAATTTTGTTTTGATAGTGAGAAAATGGCTTTTTTTATTTTGCCCTACATTTGAAATTAAATTTTATAAAACCATTTTAACATTGTAAAAATGCAATGAAATTTTGAATCGTGAACAAACTAATTAAAGTGAACATATTTTTTTGTTCTTACTCGTAACATCGTAACATCACGCATTTTGGCATAATCACACGTAAAACAAAAAAATTATGAAAAAAAAAATTTTTAAATGAAGGGGGAGAGCGGAAAAAAGCAAAAACGAAGCAAAAACCCGGCTTTTGGCTCAGTGGAGCAGCTCAATTACACTTATACTAGAAATATTTCAGGCACACAAAAACTTATTGTAGTGGGAAGGCGGAGGGCTTCATTTTAAAACGTACATCAAAAATCAGTTTATTGTTTTATTCTTATGTACTATTTTCTAATTTTAACTTGAAATGTAAACTAGTATAATTCATTTTTTTGGTAATCTCTTTTGATTAAAACGCACGTGCACCACATAAAAATCAGTGATTCATAAAACAATAGTTCATGTTTTGGTTTCACGTTTAAACAAACCTGCCATTTGCTCAATGTACAACAAATCACACTACCATCTATAGCAAAGACTACGGTAGAACCATCGTTGAATGAATATCTGTAATACCTGCAGTTATAGTGATTACAGAGCTATTAAAACTTGCATTTCGTTATAATTTAGCATTTTAAAAAAAAAACTCGACCTTTTTGAAATCAAAATGCCAATTTTTGTTACTAATTACCATTGGGACCAATCATCTGAAAATATTTACCTTAGAGTTGAGCTGCAAGGAGCTAAAAAATCTTCAGTGAGTGTTTTGCAGTCTGAAAACTACATCAAAGTCAGTTTCCCGCCCTACATTTGCGAAAAACCTCTATGGGGAAAAATTGACCCAGACAAAACGCTAGTCACTATCGAAAATGGATCAGTTGGCGTACGGTTGCAGAAAGCCGAAGCGAAAGAATGGATTGCGTTGTCGGTTGATTTGCCATTCGACAAAACAGAGGCGCGAGATTTTATGGCAAAACTGCGGCAAGATGCGGTCAAGTTTTCACAGAAAGATGCGGAAAAAAAGCGCGAAGAAAAAGCAGCAGACAAAAACAAAAAAGATCGATTTGCAGTTTCACAACAGATAAAATTGGAGCAAGATGAAAAAAAGAGAATTGAAGATTTCAAAAATGAGGAGAAAAAACGAATGACGGATGAAATTTTGGAATTTCAAAAATCAACTGAAAATGAAAACTCGGAGCAAAATGATGAAATTAAACGTCAGTGGGAGCATTATCGAAAATTAGAAGCCGAATTGGAAAACATTGATTCGGATGAAGACGAAACGAAAGTTCTGGAGGAAACTAAATCAACGTTGAAATCGGCTTCGAATGAAGGCAAAAACAAAAAAGCTGAGAAAACAGAAATTGAAGAAAAGCCAAAACACAAAACTGTGATCGAAAATTATTTGAAACAAAAGCAACAGATTTTCGACAACTCTGAAATAAGTCAACCCGCTATTCGAGGAGCTGGCAAGAATATTGAGATTTCATTCACGCCTCGTGTTTTCCCGACACCTCTTCGCGAGTCGCGAAAACCAGAGGAGGATGAATGGCTTCGGAAGCAAAACGAAGCTCGTAAGAGAGCAGATGACTTTTCAGACGAGTTAAGTGATATCGAAAAAGATCCCGTTTTGTTGAGGCAAAAAGGAAATTCATTTTTCCAGAAGGGAAACTACCAAGGCGCAGCAAATGTGTTCACACATGCCATTAAATTGTACCCAAAAATGCCTGAGCTATATTCAAATCGTGCAGCTTGTCATTTAAAGTTACGCAACTTTTTTAAGGCGCTCGACGATAGCTCGAAAGCGATCGACTTGTTAGTTCCCGCTTGCGAAGCGAATGCGAAAGATCGGACTAAGGCTTACTTGAGGAGAGGCGCCGCTTTTTGCGAGTTAGAATGCTACGCCGAGGGTTTAATCGAGTACGAAGCAGCACTGAAATGTAATCCTACAAATGAACAGATTTACAAAGACTGCCAAAACTTGAGAAAGTACATCGAGGGAACGTATACAGGTGCTCTGAGAATGGAAAACCCATATGAAAACGAAAACAACATAAAATCTATTTTGGCCCCTAAAGCTGGTCAGAAAACCAAAACAAAGTCAGGAAGCCAAAACAAAGATGAAGACGAAGTAGACGACAATGGGGACGACGAGACTGCTTCGGAAACTTCCGACGATGATGACGAGGGAGACGATGATGTAATTCATGACATAGAAAATCATGTGACCAAAAAGCCGTTGGTTGACAAAGAGGATTCGAATGAGAACTTCAAAGCAACGGTTACAAATTGTGAAGACAATGAGGAGCCCGATTCAGATGACGTGGATGAGTGAACCAGTGTCTGTTTAAAACTAAATTTTTAGTCGGTTGAAAGTCCATCTTGATTTTCTATTCAATCCTGGCTTTTCGAAGGGGAAATTTAGAACCTGAAAGCATTTTAAGTTGGGCGCCAAGTTGGTCGTGTTTTATTCTCATTGCTGCTGCTAACAGACCAAGTCGGATAAAGGCATGAGCTGCTGTACATAAATTCTTTTTTGTATCATATTTCTTACATTTTGTTAAAATGTTCTTTTTGCTATCTCTCATGCATATCTGATAGAAATAGAAGTGTTTTGGATGCTTTTGAAATTCATAATTCGATCTCACTTCTAATTGTGAGTGTCAATTACAGTTACTTTTTCGAACTCATAAATAATTTGATTGCCGAAAATGTGAAATAAAGAGACCCTCAGTTCTGAGAAAACTTCCTTGAATATTGTTGAAGCACATTTAGGGGCTCTTTTTCCTTCCCCCTCCCCCCACCTGCAAAATTTTACATGTAAATTTGTTGACCACATTGTCCGATTGTTATGAAAATTTACATACAGACTAATAAGGCCACGACAAACATATTTGGTCTTCATACTCAACCTCGTAAAATCCTTCGTTACACTATAATATTGAAGCTCGTGTGAGGTCGGGGGGAAAAGGAAAAAGAGCCCATTTAGGTTACGAACCCAACAAAAGCGGGCTCTTTTTCTTCCCCCCCCCCAACTCACACGAGCATCAATTTTATGGTCTAACGAGTAGTTTTACAAGGTTAATTAAGGAAAAAGAGCCCAAAAGCGTGTTAGTTTCTTGATTACCAAGATTTTAAGAGTTTGCGCTAGTTGCAAAAGACACTGGTACCAAATTCTAAAATGGAGAACGACAACAAAACAAGCAGGGAAGAGATGAAGACATTGGACATACATAACCAGCCTTTTAAATTCCCACCTGACTTAAATATCACTTTTCAGTTGCAATTTCTCATTCACAAAGAAACGTACACAGATCAGCCATCATAGGCACCAGCGGATTTAGGGGGGGGGGGGGGGGGGGTGTTGTTTGTCGGACGCTCCCTTCTTCTTAGGAATTTGACCCCCTGCCGACCCAAAGTGTCTCCCTTTGTCCTATTTTAAGATATCCATTTTTGGTGACAGACCTAAAAATTTTTCTATAGGCGCCTTCTTTTTAGGGGGGAGCGCGCGCCAAAAAAACGCAACTTTTGGTCAAAATTTTCCAAAAATTGCCTGAAAACGCCTTTTTGATCTGTTTTTTTTTCAAAATTTTGCCTGCGGCGCAGAAAATTTGGTCAAAATGGGCTCTTTACAGTGATTTAGGGGAGCTCAGAAAATCAATTTAGTCGACCTAAAAAAACGCCGATCAAGTTTTTTTAAAATGCAAAAAATGATTTGAGTTTCAACAAATTTTCAAAAATGATTTCAAGGAGTCGAGGGTGAACTCACTTGTAATTTCTGCGCGGTCTGGTCACAAAGTGGTCGTGAAGTCTCTCAGGCAAGCTGCCCCATCTGTCCAATCTGTTCTCGTTCGGGTTCCGAGTGTTCTGAAGTGACTCCTTCTGGACCTCCGGCTTCTGAGAAGGAACTCGAGCAGTGCCTGACCTCTTTAATGGTTTGTTTTTACCTGGCGGCGGCATTTGGTATTGGTTTGGATTGTCTTGGTCATCTTCATCTTGAAGTATTTCTATTGGCCTAAAGTTTTATTTTAGAACCTTTTATGATTTTTGCTATGAAACTAAGAAATCTGAGAACAATGGACTAATGTCTATAATGTTTGAGCAAAAAGTAAAAGTACGCTTTTAGCTCAAAAACTCTAAGATGACACCTACTATTAAAAATTTGCCTGCGGGGCCTGTAGTGTTTTTCTGATAATTTGGAGAAACAGTTTTTTGAAAAATTTCGCGCCCGCAAAGTGGAACCTGATCTAAACTACATTTTATGATTGGATAAATTAGATATTTTACCAATGTAAAGTATTTAATATTAACCAATCATGATCCATCTAACTAACAATCCACTTATTTGTAAGTGCTGAAATTACTTGTAATTTCAGCACCAGAGAGATTTGAATTTAACTTAGAAATTAGTTGAACTCTCCCGAGTACTTCAGCAGCCGCAATAAACCAGTATACCCTAGATCTATTGAGCCTAGCAGAGACTAGTTAAACAACCTGAGACTAGATAGTATAAGAGTAAGATTAGGATCGGTATTAGACTAAGAAGTTGCACGAATCTATCCGGCCGAAAATAAGATAGCGTGACGAGCAGACGGTGTACCCTATCCGAAATTACTCTATGAGTTATACCCATCGGTCCTAACTCATCTGGTGCGACCATAAGTCTCGAACAAGACCTTAATAGCTTAGCATTAACCAATAATAGATTAGAATTTAGACAAAACATTTACAAAATGTTATACGACAATAATTTAATCGAAATGTCTCTACGACTCAATAGATCAGAGCCAATATTCCGAACGATAACAGAACTACCCGGAATTGGAAGAAGACCTCGAACCAGAGACGACATACGACAAAGCAGAAACTTACCATATAGTTATATGATAGTTCGGCAAAAGCCAGAACAAACTTTTGTATTTAGAATAATACTAGCAATGAATTTAGATTTTCATTTGCAAACATAAAATTTTGAAGTCAATCTTCAAAATCATTTCAGGCGCTAAACAAAATTATTAATATACAATAACGATTGATAAAAAGATCTCAGATCGTTTTCCTAAATTCTGCAGTAATATACAAAACATGTTTGAAAAATATTTATTGAAAAATCAAAATAAAAATTAGTAGCATGACAATAAATGGTTAGTAATTATAAATCATCCTGTTGTTCCAGCTTCATCGCCTAAACATAACAGCAATCATAAGCTCACTAATATCATAAAAATACTAAATCTATTCTTTACACAAATTTAAAACATTTTAAACTTAAATTCACTTAATTTTAAAATCAGATCATCAAGGCTTATCCTTGGATCTTAAATCATTTTCTATTTAATTAAATTTAAAACTTGATCATCAAGGCCTATCCTTGGATCAAAAAGAACAACTTTGTTCTCCCCCACCCACTTAACTAGTGTCTAACGACCTCAAACGTCGATTCACTATCCAACCCTTTCTAAAAACCCAGGACTAATAGAAATTTTTGAACAAAACTAATCATTCAAATTAGGATAAACAGTGAAGAACTTCGGTTATTCATCCTTCACTTGATCCCCCCTCTTACCAGACCCAGGATAAATCTTAAACTTAGTAAGTTTAAAATAGTATCTAACGAACTACTCGCGTTCTAATTATACCTGAACCTTGTGGATCGATTTACTATCCTCCAACCCTGAACACAATCACTACCCTTAAGTAAGATTAAGTAAGTTAACACCTTAGCTTATACTATCCACGAGAAAGTATAAAATCATTCTTCGGAATCGATATACTTTTCTCCCCAACCCTGAACAAATAGACCCAGGTTAGGCTAACAAAAAAATCGTAAGGACTAACAGTTTAAGCAAATAGAAATCGTTTAACAACCTTTTGCATCCGTCATCCTAAACCTTATGTCATTTAAAAACCTAGGAAATAAACAAACAATCGTTTTACACAATTGTGAAATAGATAACAAAAAATACGACCTTGTAATCACACCTCATACACAAACAGTTGGATACATTAGAACAAAACGACAAACATTAAAGAGAAAAATAATAACTAAACAAAGACAAATAACACGAAAAAGATTTTCAAAAAATCGAAACGCATTTTCAGAATCAGAAACCAACAGTTTAGACGAACTTTATAAACTAAAAGAATCAATAGATAAAAATTGCCCAATTCACGATCAATTATATTTCTCTGACTCAGAAACAACTTCAAATTCATCAAAAAGAGGAAAAAGAAGAATAAAAAAGCAGTATAAACACAAACCAGTACATTTATACAATTGGAATCAACCAATTAGACACATTGATAATTACATATTAACAGTCATCGAACGAAAAAATGAGCTCAACGCACACCCCAGGTGAAGAAAGTCCAGATGATGATGATATTTTCCCCTTTATCGTAGATGCAACCACTGATAGAGGACAGCATTTATTCTGCAAAAATTTACTCTTAAATTTGTTTGAACCCGGAATCAGTCCATGTAAAACAGAGTTCCCAGATGTAAAAATCAAAAGACAAATTATCGATCACTATCTAAAAGATATGTAACCTAACACAACAATACGGAATCTACTCCATAGAATTCAGCTCACCAAACCAGAATCACAGTAAATATATAATTCAAACAGACGACCTTGATTTAGAATTCTCAAAAGTATTCTCAGAATATATAAAAAGCATCCAATATCATAACTCACAAAGAGCAAACTCCATATTCACCAATGAAGTTTTTGCGATAATATATAGTTATATCTCGATATTAGAAAACGAAATCCAGATACCAAATGACTCACCAACAGAAACATCTAAACATATAAGAGTACGACATGAAATCACACTACTCTCTAGTTTTCTAAATATAATTAAAGAAAATTTCACGAAAGATGAAGTTTCACAACATACAAAACACGACTTACAAAAAATCTTGGCATGGTTCATAATAGATTATTTCACACATAATATTGATTTAATTTCACAAGCAAGAAAAAATTTTAGACCCCAAAACTCAAACGATGATACTGCCATCACAGAACAATCAGACTATGTTTGGGACCCCGAATGGTCTCATCCCGCATCCATAAACTTCCCACAATCAATCTCAAGTCAAGCAATAAGTACGATATCTTATGTAAGAGATTATGTACGAGTAATACCATTAACCATTGATGCAACACCATTAAACTATAATACATTTTTACCCGATATACAAAATAATAGTTTAAACTCTACAGTCATACACAATGAAAACCTCAATGGAACTAGGAATCTTACTCAACAAGATATCCAGACACCATCACACTTCATAAATGAAGAAATCGTACACACAACAACTACACAACAAAGTATTTCACCAATACGTCCAAACTTAACAACACCAAGAAATACAAATCCTTCACAAACACAGGTAACATTACAATCAACCGTTAAACCTTCAGTTGCCCCAAAATATTCACACATGGATTACCAAACATACAGACCCATGACAATACCACCAAAAACACGCAAAACGTTCACCAGAAACAACTTTGCAGACCATAATTATAATTACACACATCCATCAAAAACAAATTATCAACCACGAAAAATTTTTAGTAATTATACAAGATCTCGAAACTGGGATAACCCAATGGCACCACCTAATTCAGTAAATTTCCAAACAAATTTACGT